ATAGTACAGAGTACATAGATTTTAAAATTTTCTCCTTTCTCATTCTTCAGTGGTTCTGTGATCTTTCTTTCCGAGGTATGTGTAGAAGGAGGACTTCCTCAGCTGGATTCAAAGGAAGTATGTTTTACAGTCTTCTAGGCCTTTTTCCTTACTGTCACATGAAGTAATGTCTTGCTAGTTTAAAAAGAGAAAATGATTAATCTTCTCAGCAGTGCTGGGTAGTTGCTAAGAGAACCCAAGTTCCAAATCCAAAGACCTTGTCTGAGGGTAATTAAGCTGTGAATTTGAGTGTCTGCTTTGAAAGGAATTAGACATAACCTTCTGTTCTTTTGTGAAACCTGTTAGGAAAGAATGAGATATTAAAATCAATCAGTACAGTTTTATCGGGGCACCTCAACTTAAAATTGGTATAACTTTTTATTTTACATTCAACATTTGTCCATACTGTGTTAGCTTATGCAATGTCCAGGTGCTATTTTTTTTTTTCTTTTTACTGTTTATGAAAACTTTCCACTTGCTGTTGAGGCTATTCTTTCCAAGGTTTTGCTTTTCATCTGCACTCTTCCCACTCATCATTTGCTTGGCGCCTTAAGGTGTGGATAAAACCTACACTCTAGCCTTCCTTTCACCTACATGTATGAAACCCTGCTAATTTCACTGTCAGAAAAAGTTCATAGAAGGACCTGGTGCTTCCACAGGTAATGGCTAACCTGGCAGATGTCTTATGCAGATAGCTAAAGAATAGTTTAAGAAATTTGTGTGACGTGAGGATTGAAAATAAAAGACTAATTAAAGGAAAAGCACATATTGGTAAAAGGATGATAATTATTACTGGTTTTGTTTGAAATGTATGATGGGTCAATTCAACTACATCAGTTTAGGTGTCATACAAAATTCATCTGACAAAAATGTTCCTTTATTGGCTTTGTAGAATTGTCATTAAGCATTTTTAAACTGGCATGCCGACATGCCTGTTTCTTCAGTTCATTTTTTGTGCAACATTTGTACTGTTTAAACTAATCATTCCCTCAGGCTAATCTTGATGGTTATTGGAATATAATATGGCAACTGCTTAGACATTTAAGAAAAAAAAAATATTTCTGTGTTATGTTAATTGCCACTGGTGTATTAATATGACCCCAATTTTCATCCTTGCTGGTCAAGGTCAAAATGAACTCAGCTCTTCAAAGCTGCAATTCAGTGAAACACTCAAGCATGTACTTAACTTTAACCATATATACTGTGCTGGGACTACTGGCCTGAAGTACACAGATGCTTAAATGTTCTGCTGAATGTAGTAACACTTAACTTTAAAGAAATATGGAGTGTTTTGCTGACTGAAGCCCTCACAGATAAATCATCCGCCCACTCTGATTCAAGCATGAGCTGCTGTTGCATACGCAATGGCTATCTTGAGAACCCTTAGACAGACAGCAATGAGTCTCTGAACGTAAATACTAGCCACATGACTTATGGTAATGAGAGAAAGTCAGACTGCATGTGCAATAAGACAAAGCTCTGACTATGACAGGGTGGGTTAGAATAAACTCAAAATCATGATGATTTTAGCCATTATCTTCTTGTTGGCACTTCTCTTCCTCATCCTTCCCCCCTCCACTGTTGGTCGTTATCATACAGATTGTCACACCTAGAATTAGTGTTTTGAGAAAAGAGGGAGATCTTTGCACCCTGTTCTGGAAAGACCTTAGCATACAATAAAGTGCTATAAAAATACTTAATGTTATTTTTACTGTTTTAAGATGTACAATGTGTGAGATATCATAAGAATACCAGACCACCCCTCCTCAAGCTCCTCCAATAGCTCCCTTAAACTCTTCTTTTGTAGCTCATGACAGTGCAAGTCATACATATGGGGGGATTAAGATTAGGGGCTCTACCCTATTAAACTCACTGCCTTTAATTTTGTGCAGGCTATCTGATAATTTATTTAAAGAAAAACAATAAGACCACAGGGTCCAGGTGGCATGTGCTTCCCTCTACAAGTATCAGTGATCGCTGAAGACATTTCATCCTCTTGGTATTCTTGTGATACCAGCTATCCAAATGGCCTAATTTGCCTCTCTGCTAGCATGTTTTACTCTTTGGATACCACAAAAATGAAGTGCAGGGCAGCTGGGCACCTGTTGATGCATTCCACTTTCCCATTAGTGACAAATCCCTTCTAGTAAGTCAGATGGTTCAGAATCAACTTTGCCAAGAGATGAGCTTTAAGGATAAAATAAAAGGTAGAATAATTAAAAGACAATTCACTTTACAGCACAGTCATCGAGTTACAGTATTTCACTTTAAAATAGAACTTGTCTTTGTGTGTTAACTATTCCTGAATTGTATTCCTCTGCCTTTTTTCCTTCTATGCCACCCCAAGCTAGACTGTCCTAGTCTGTGTCTGTACTTTGCAAAGGGAACTTCCTTCCTCATTTTCTGTAACTGAATATTGAATAGAATGAAATCAGATGGTATTGTAGAGAAGGAGGAAAAGTTCCTGCCTTCCTTCTTCCCTTTGTTTCTTTCTTCTTCTCTCAATTTAATAATAATTTCTACTGTATATTCTAATTATCAAACATTTTCTTCTTGTTGCTTACATCCTTTCCAGTCTCCTGAAGGCATGTTGGTTAAACTAAACCAAAAATGATGAGAAACATTAAATGCATTATCTTCTTATTAGATTCACAGCAAATATGAAGTTTAAGCAATGATATGACTATGGCACTCGTGAACTGAAGAAGTATGACCCTCATGCACAGCTCTTTATTCTTTTGCATTCAAAATTTTAAGGGTTTTATTCTGTGAAGTCTGTCAAGCACTTTGAAAGATAGTGGATTGTCTAAGGTGCATGAAAACAGACTAGTTAGAGTATATTTAAGATATATGTATTATATACTATATATTGTATTCTATACTATAGTATATTTAAGACAAAACTTTTCAATGTAAAAATATGATAATATGAATCATGATAATTTCAGTAGGAACTGTAGCTCTATCACAGAGGATTATTTTATGTACTATTCTACAAACCAAATGCCTATTTCCAAACTCTTGCAGTTTGTATAAGGAAATCTAGGTTCAGAGCAAAAGAAAAAGTTATCACCCACATAAGCACTGTCAAAAGGCTGCCCAACTGATATTGATTCCACTTGATTTTTGCATACTGTCCCTTTTTTTTGAGAGTTGAACCTTATGATCATCAGCCAGTCCTGCAAAGGTGGTAAGCACGTGTTCAGCTTTGACCTAAATGGGAACATTTATCTGCTTATTTTCCAGAGAGCTAAATGGCGTTCCGAATTATTTGCTGAATTCAGAGCCTGTGCTTATTCCCCTTGTGAATTTACCTTTTACCTTGACTAGAAAGAAGATTAAATACTCTCTCAAAGTCTTTCTTTGGTTTTAAAAAGAGTAATTAAAGTTTCCTCTCTTTCTCCCATGCTATTTCAGAGCTTGCCTTATAAAACAAGGCTGGCCATTGAGGTCTGGTGCTACAATCTTCTGTTGCTGTTTAGTGTGACCTAATAAAAGCACATTTTCCTAAAAACATGTCTTTCCCTTTTTGCTCCTTTTCCCTGTAGGTATTGCATTTTTGTATGGTTGAGGCTGTTTTCTTTCTGACACGATTTTTTTTTTTTCCTTACATGTGAAATGTTTTGAATCGGATATAGAACAGTCTGTATCTTACCAGAGGAACTGAAAATTAAAATGGTCTTTCATGCTGAGGTTGAGGTAGTGTTTCTGTTCTACCTTTTTACCTCAGTCCTGGAGCAAAGCCTGTGGATTCAGGTTTTTCCAGTATTATACTTTTCTTTTGAGTAGAGCTAAAAAATAATAATTCTGTCTATTTGAGACAGTGTGTAGTCAGATGTCACCATGTTAACAAGTTTACAGTTTGGCTGCTTATTTTGATTGGATCCCAGTTATGTAGCATTAGAGAGCAGATGTTCCTGGTGTAATCTGATAGTAATTTTTACTCTATTTTCGAATTTCTAGTCAAGGATAGATGATTTGATGAGACCAAGGCCTCTGTCAAACCTCCCCCCTACTCTACCTCAAGCTGATCCCTTGACCTGAAAGAAAGAACAAACAGTTCTGCAGTAAAATTGTTTCGTTGTGTGCTGTAGCTTAGTTGTGTTTAAATGAATACAGAGCACCAATAAGATCTTTTTGGATAGTCTTTTTTGTCCTTGCTAAACTTTGTCTGTGTTTGGAAAATAATTTTATAGCAGGTTTAGGCACAGTTTTTTAAAGAGAATGTTGGAATTGAGGCTTGTTGACAGCAACAAATTATGGTACACTGATAATATCTGTTAAGAGAATGAGGTATAGAGGGTAATAAATGAGAAAGTGGAGCTCTGAAGGAAAAGGTACCAGTACCAAACTTGGTTGCAGCATACGGTAATTTAAGAATTTGTCATGACAAAAGGCTTTTGCATATATCAGTAGACATGCAACTGGAATTAGAGACCGATTTATCCCTGAGATACCATTAATTAGTGGTTGTTGCTTCTATTACATGTTGTTGTTGTTTGGTTTTAACTGCCCCAGACTGTGGTAAATATAAAAAAATATTCTGTGCATAGGCCTTTTTAATTCTATAATACTCTTGCGCAGTCTATTTGGTAAATATCAACACGGGCACATGGACCACATGGCATTCCATGTCTCAGGCTAAGAGGAAGACACTTGTTTATATTAATCTGTCCTCTTTTGTGACTGCTTTAATTGTTCATTATCTTAATCATTCAACAGAAGATTTAATTTGTGGTTTTAATAGTAGTTTTAAAGAACTTGTGAATAAATGTATTGTGAATAGATGTTAGTTTCACTATCTGTGTCAATACTTTTATGGTATATTATTATGGTAACCCTACCTTCTTCCTGAGGTGTTAGATGCTGTACTAAATACTCAATAAAAACCAAAAGGGCATTATAGGCAGTTTGTTATGCCTGTGTATAACTGCGTCCTTATTTTCCCTCTGGTTTTACAGGGCACAATGACTACATGTGTCCTGCTACTAACCAATGCACCATCGACAAGAACAGAAGAAAGAGTTGCCAGGCTTGCCGACTAAGAAAATGCTATGAAGTGGGAATGATGAAAGGTGGTATGTACACAGCAATCAACAGTTCCTCAGCTTTCCTGTCTTTTAACTTCATTGGACAGCTTGTATGGTTCCTAAAGGAGGAAGCAACTAATTTTATTGAGCTGAAGTATATTAAATCACAGAGCAATTAAATAAAAAATAAAAAAATCCCAAGTGCCATGTTATTATTCTTGCCCAAATTTGCATCAAAATTAATAGGAACATTGACTTCGATGGAGTTAGGATTCTTCTGTTAATGTTTTTAATTCTTTTTTTTTTTTTAATGTCTCCTGGTAGACTCCAGATTATGACAAATGAAACTTAATCTAAGATTTTGTAGCATTTTGCAGTTCAGTGTGAAAAGCACTGTAGTCTCAGATCAGTCCATATTCATTAAAATAAACTTCTGAATATATAATACTTGTTCTGTGGATTCTGGAAGGGAAAGTCAATTCCTCTATTCCAGTATTGTACATGAATTTTATATGTGAATTAATTTCCCCCGACAATATTAAAAGCTCAGTCATTTTATAAAAACTGAGATAAATGTCACTTTCTTGGAACATACTTATGTAATGTTGTGATGTAATTATGTAATGTAATGATGTCAGAGAAGGCGAATCAGACACTGAATGCTTAGGTTGAAGCGGAATATCATTAAATCACCTTATTTATATACAGTGTTTAACTTTTGGAGGCAAAATTAGATATACATGACAATACTGAACAATTGCTATGGTGTGTTCTTAGATGGAAGAGTTCTTTTGTAACATAGCTTTGGACCAATCATGATATCTGCCTTTCTCCTCTGTGTTACAGTACCTTATGTTTGTCAAAAACAGACAGAAGTTAGCTACTTTTAATCCTTTTGAAAAAGCCAAGCTCCTAAGAATTAAAAATATTTAAGAATAGGAAAGCATAAAGTTTTATTTTCACTCTGAAGCAGAAGAAAACCTTGTTGTAGCCTACTAAAAATTTCAGATTGCTTTTATTATCACTAGCTTTATTGAAACCTATTGCTATAGGAAAATTTAGCAAACTAGTAATTGTTCAGAAGAGAAAAGATTAGAACTCATCTCTTATGTGTGAAAGGAGCTAACAAATTACAGATTGGTTCTTCCTTTCTCTGGTACACCCAGTGCTTACAAAGGATTATTTGTAAATCCTGTCTGTGCAGTTAGGGTAGGCTAAGTCTGTGAATAGCTGTTACTGTGCTTTAAGGTTGAATCTTCATTTTTCTCAACTCAAGGATTAGGCAAGAGCTGAGACTGATTTTGTTAATCTCAGTTTTGGGATGCAAGTAAGAGGAAGGTGTCAAATCTCTCTTTAGTTTAGCACTTAAGACAGTAGCTGATTTTTTTTCCATAAGATTTCTTTTATGGAACCGGAGTTTTTTTGTTTCTGTCTTAACATTCTGGTGTGTATGGCTAGAAGTCTTTAAAGTAAAATGTATATCATTAGTATGACAGCTATGGTCCAGAGAAGTTAAAGTTTTAGATAAGGCAAACTAAAATCAGAGTATCCCATACATAATTTTGCCATGCAGATTTAGCTTTGACCCTTGTACATATGGCAGATCATAGTTAAAATATATAATTAAGTTTTATGTTGGTGATATTATATCTTTCATTTGGTACATTTCCATCCATTTCTACTTGTTTGTATTTAATTAATGATCCACTGTGCCAGGTTGTTGTTTTTCATGTCACTTCTGTTAAGAAATATGTTGTAATAGGATTTTTACTGTTCCATACATAATTGTTTCAATCACATAAAAATTGCGCAGAATTCTCAACTAGAATTCTGTAGATTAAAGAAGTAAAAAAAAAAAAAAAAACCAAAACATCAAAACCTGCAATTTTGTCCAGATTTTCTTTCTAATATAGATGTTCTGGAGTTTTTATTTTGTACAGTGGCCATCACCTGAGTAAAGCTCTGTGGATTTCATCCTTTACTTTTACAGTGCTGTAAGATTTTTATAGTCACTACAGCAACCGACAGTTCAAAAATAGTGTTGTGGCTTTTTGGTTGTTGTTTTTTGTTTTGTTTTGTTTTTTTTAAACTAAGCTCAGAATTTACAAACAAGGAGATCCTACAGGACCACTATTAATGCACTGAAGTCCATCACTGGTTCATAGGCAAGAGTTTAAGAATATTTATTTTATGAGGTCTAGGAAAAATTTCTTGAGATCCCTCAGTTGCAGGTTATAAAACTGGCATGCCTGCAGATGAAATATTCAAGAAAGGTAAAGTTAACGTAGGATGAAGGACGCATTCAAGGTTCTGCTGGAGTCATTACCAATCCCATACTATCCACGCAGCTGTGGGGGAAAGAAATCTTCTTCTTTAGGTAGTACTTGATAATTGTCACAT